CCACGTGGAGGCGCCTCCTATTACCTGGGGCCACGCTCCAACCCACGACACTTCCTTCTGGGGGGTGTCAAAGGGCATCGGAAGTTAAAGCTTGGTCAGAGCTCAAGTGTCCTTCGCTACCGGAACTCCGCCTGCTCCGTTGCTAAGGGCGGGCCTTTCGCTCACAGTGAGCCCCGAGGGCCCTGAGCTAAGACAACGGCGGATTGGCTTCACTGCCCGCAGACAATATAGCGTCGCCAGTGCCCACTCTGATTGGCTGCAGGTGAGACAGACGCCGGCCGGCCGCCGTGCTCGCCAAGGGGATTGGCTGCGAGGATGCAAGATGGCGGCCGCGCGTGTCGCCGCCTAACGGATGAACTGCCAGCACCCAATATGGAGGCCGGGCGGCAACGGCGCCCACGGATTGGCTCGCCCGCAGTCAAGATGGCAACGGCGCGGCTTCTCAGCCCACAACCAAAATGGCGGCAGCAGCGTGCGAGAAGCGGCGCCCGGCTCCAACCCCGGCGGCAGGGCCGGCACGAGCAGGGGCTGGGGCGGAGGCTCCGGGCCGGGCTCTGGAGGACGCGTCCGAGTTCCTGCGCCAGGCCGGGGTCACTGCCATGGTGCGCGAGGCACTGCTGAAGCTGCTGGAGGCGCGGCCTGAGGAGCCCGTTACCTTCCTGGCCGACTACTTCGAGAAGCTGATGCTGAGCAGCCCCGAGGCGGCGGACGGCGGCGGGGACCCCCGCGGGCAGCTGCAGCGCCTCGCCCGGGCGCTGTGGTACGTGCGGCTCGCCCACCACTCCCACAGGTGCGAGTGCGGACTACGACTCCCAACATGCGCAGCGCCGCGCTTCCCTGGCTTGGGCGGGCCGCGGGGGGCATGCTGGGAGCTGTGGTCCGTAATGGCTTCGGGAGTGCGTGGGAATGGTGCATCCTGGGAGTTGTAGTCCATAATCGTTGAGGGAGCGATGAATGCTGGGAGCTGTGGTCTTTAATAGCTGCAGCTGTGGGGAGCTAGGAGCTGTGGTCCTTAACGCATGCTGGGTGGTATGGTCCTTAATGGCTGCAGAGGGGAGTGATGTATGTTGAGGCTTGTAGTCCCCAGCTGGTGCTGGGGGTCCCTGCCCAGGCTGTGCTGGTCTGGGGCACGTGGGGTGCCTCATTCCCCACTGGCTGCTCCCTCCTTGCTCCTTGGCCCTGCGGTTCCCCGCGAAGCCAGAGCAGGCTGCTCTTGCGCTGAAAATCAGGGGCCCTCAAGGGGCTGACGAGCTGAGGAGCAAGGCCTAGCTTTCCCAGCCTGGCGGAGAGCTCTGCGAGAAGCAGGGGTGGGCCTCTGTGCTGTTGGAGCTGCCAGGTGGGCTTCCCCCTCTGCTGCATGAGGCCTCTGATCTGACTCCCCTCCCCTCTGGGTAGAAGCATTCCCTGCCCCTGCATGCTGACGGGTGTTTTTCCTCCGTGCCCCGGCAGGACAGCCTTCAACAACAACATCAGCATGGCTTATGATTGCCTGGGTGCCAGTGGCAGGAGGAAGAAGCCGGGGGTCAATGGGAGGATCTACAGCGAGCTGCTCAGGAGGATCTGCCAAGACAGCGAGGCCCCTCAAGAAGTCACTTCTCCCCTGCTGCAGAGGATCCAGTGCCGGGACCACGAGGCGGTGCCGTTCGACGTCTTCCGCTATGGGGTGCTCACCTGCTTCGTGCTGCTCGAGTTCGTGGCCAAGGCGGACACACTGTACGATGTGCTGGACGATGGCTCTGGCATTGCAGACAAGAGGGTCTGCCAGGCCGTGCTGAGCACCCTGGAAGAGGCCCTTGGAGCCAGCGACTTCTCTGTGCCCATCCGGTACTTGGAAGCTGGCTCCAAGCTGGGCCCAGACTGTCTGGCCTTGGCCATGGACCGTGCGTTGCTGGAGAGGAAGCTCAGCACCTCCATGAAGAGGGAGGAGTTTCTCAAGAAAGCCGCAGTCCTGTTCATCGCAAAAGTGAAACCCATTGATTGATGATCTCTCTGGGATCAAGCCCCACTACCCCCTGCCCTTCCCTTTCCACACTCTCTCAATGTTGTTTTAGGGAAATAATTTATTCTTAGTTGAACTGCAAATCCTAGGACTGGAGATCTCCCATCAAGGCCGCAAAGAGAGCCAAAGGGACTGAGCAGGTTCTGCTCTTTGCCTGGAGAGCCCTAGATCCTTTGGACTCTCAAGTCCCTCTCGCTGCCTCGTTGTCCCAAGCACCAGAAATGCCACGTATGCCCCTGAGCCTCCTGTTTTTACAGTGTTTGATTTTTTTTCAACAGGTATCTGCAGCTTCTGTGTCAATCATAGCCTGAGATGCTTCTGGAAAACCCATAGCTGGCAGGGCAGCATGAGCCATCCCAAATAAGGCAGTGGACTCAATGCAGAACGAGGAGTTGAGACCTTCCTGGCTTTGACAATGTAGCTTTGAACGCGACACTTTGATTTTATTTTCCCTCCCTGTAAAATGGGGTGATCAAGCCTACCTACCTCGCAGCCTATTGTGAGGACTAACAGGTAAAGAGGATGCTGAGTGCCACAAGTGCTAACTTGTATATTAAGCAATTTTTTCAGTACTTTAGAGAGGACAGATTCATTGCCAGAAAGGAGACAGTGTTAAAAAGTCACTTCTGTGCCAAGTAGCAGCAGTGTTTCCAGAGCCTCTTTTAGCGTTCAACTATTCTTGGTCATACTATGTTTTACTGAACTTGCTTCCATGCCGTAACCTGGATGCTGAACTATTGGGTTCATACGAGATGTTTTTGAAGCAAAGTGGGTACAGCTTAGCTGGTGGGTTTGGATTTTGAGCAGTGGGCAAGGGGCAAAAACAGTGTAATCTCCTTAAAAACAGGAGTCCTTGATCTTTTAAATGGTGCTGGTGTTTGAACCGTACCTTTATTTATTGGCATCCTAGCATGAGTATTTATTACTGTGGCATGGTTTTTGGGTTATTGTAGGACATTAAACTTTTTTTTTTTTTTTTTAGTCGCAAATCGCTTTCCTCAGTACTTAGTGCGCTGCTGGCATTCAGGGCTGCTGTAGGTCTCCCATGCTATTCTGTGAGAAGCATTTATCCAAAGTTTTGGAAACTCTTTCCAAATGCTGCACTAACCGTGCAGTTCACCATTCTCCAGGCTGGGGGCAGGAAGGTGAATAGAGCCGAACAGCTAAATGCCGAGGTTTTGAAGAGGCCTCTGATCTTGCTTGGGGGTTTAATCCTTAGGACTTTTGTTTTTTTTCTAGTGATTTGAGGTCCCTAACTTCACAGCAAAAGCTCCCTACAAAGCCAGACTTCCAGAAAGTGTTTCAAACCAAGTACCCAAGTCACTAGACTGGTGGCTTTTGACTTTTTTTTAGGCTCAAGGCAGCCCTCAGAAAATTCCACCTCCTTCTGTCTTCTCTCCCATTTAACTGTGGAAAAAACTTAATACAGCAATTTTTTTCTACTGCAAAGAACTCAAAGCATAACGGGGTAAAATACTTTAATCCTATGGATTCGTCTCTGAAATAATTGCTTTATTTTGGGGATCATGGTCGCACACTTAACAGAGCTAACCATACAGGGTATTCATGGCACCCTTGAAAGGATCTTCAGACGCCCCAGGGTGCCACCGGGCTCTGGTTGAGAATTGCTGCATGAGACATTAGGTGATCTTGGTCATTAGGCCTCACAAAGTAGGTGATGCCAGCACAGTGTGCGTCATTGAAGTGCCCAACCATGGGACTGAAAACCTGCTCTGTGCTTATCCCAATGTAAGGTAAGGAGTGCTCCTTGAGTACTTCCAGTGCTTGGTGCGTTAATGAGTATTGTTTTCAAGGCTATCAGTGCTGTCCTGTTTCAAACCCTGGAGCTGATTAGCTTCTGTTGGCTTTCAGGGCTTCTAATAGTTTCTGGGCTCCTATTAGGTACCCTGAAAATAAAGAGAGAAGCAGGCATTGGTGGGGTAGCATTTTCAGGGCTTCTAATAGCAGCCTTGTGCCTGATAACTCCCCATCACTATCTGGTGCAGTTAGAGTATGCTTTGTTACTGAAGGATCTTTTGCATTTAATGGGTTTGTAGACTTCACTGATGTGCACAGAAGCAGACTTCGTTGTAAAGTAAGGTATGGGAAAAGCATTGGGCCCAGTGCTGTGTAACGTGAATTACCCACTTGTCCAGTGTGCCATCCGTACAATACTAATTATATGTCAGGGTACTGCACTCACGTGCAGAGGTGTAAGGACTGGGTTTTTAAGTGCTGAGTCTCCTAACCCCTACCGAAATTAGTGGGGAATTAGGAGCTTAAATGCTTTATGTAGATGACCTTAAGCAAGATGTCTTAAATATTAAATGCCATTGCCTTGTTTTGTAAGGAAGTGCAAATACGTGCCTTCCTGGTAGACTCCACTCAAGTATTGAAGCTCTGCAATTTTGGGGTTCTTGGGCAATTTCCTGCATTTAACCCACGTGTGCTTGAGCAATGCATGATACCCTGCCAAAGCTGACATTAAGCATGGCAGTTGTGCTTTTCAGTGGAGTGCAGCACTTAGCCACATCATTCAGCCAAATTTTAAGACGACATTCCTGTGGACCCCTGCTCTGGAGCAGGAGGCCTGTTGTGAAGGTCTGCAGAGGTGGGTATGGCAGCCGGGGGCTGGGAGTGATGGGGGGAGGATGCAAATCCAAGCTGCTCCAGGGGCTTGGTGGGTGGCATCATTCTTGTTCCTTGGGGCAGCTGGAGAGTGGCCCCAAGGAGCACTGGAGCCTGAAAGGTTCATGTATCCTCGGACTCCATGGAGCTGCTGTAGCTCCCACTCTGCCCTCCCCCTGCTGCCCCCACCACACCAGGGACACGGCCCCCAGTACAAGGCATGTGCCCTGCTCCCTCCTGAGCCGCAGACAAGGGCATTGCTGTGCCACCCACCCCTCTGCCCCAGGGAGCCGTTCTGGTGGGGCCTTCACTCCCGGGGGGGGCTGGAGTCTGCAGCAAGCCCCCAGGCCTGGCAGGTGTGCCCCCAACGGCAGCTCTGCCAGGCCCAGCGTTAATGTGGCTTCTGTCCCCCAGGTTGGCTGGGCTGGGGCTGACGAGTTGGGAAAAGCGCCCC